AGTAGTATTGATCGTGTCAATGCAGAGGAAATGAATACATTTACATACTATTAAATCTTATAAGTGAACTAGATAAAAGTGAATCAAACCTTTGTAGAGTTCAACTCTATCGTATGAATAAGAGTATAAAGAAAAGAGAAAATTCATAATGTGTTGTAGCTTCCCTATTATAGATGTGGCGCACTTCACATTGATAAGAAGGACTCGATTATACACGGCTTCGTGGACACCCTAGGACACTTGAGCTTTGTGCTCTGATACCAAGTTTGTCACGCTTTGAGCCTACACCCTGGATATGATCGACACTCGGAGACCATTGTTGGCTCTAAGCGAACTCTTGGCATGGCTAACTATGTTTCACATGACTCTATCAAATACGCAGAAGTTTTAATAGATGAGCATTTGAATTATTTAAAGAAAACTCTAAAACATTGTCTTAAAATACTTAACATAAATGATAAGTTTCAATAAAACATCTGAGAAAAATACTAGATTCTATCTAACTCTATTTATCCATGAAAGCTCTATTGTCCAAGATAGGTGTTGGGACAAGGCCCGTGACACCTTAAATACCACTAAAAATAATATAGAGATGGGGTCCTCCGGAAGCTAGAAAGCCTCACCAAAAACTATCAAGAAGTGTGGAGTGATCTCAATGAAGCACCTGTTTATGATCCTGAACACATGTATCTGCATCACAAAAAGATACATGTCGAATGACATCACTACATTGAATGTACAAGTATGTAATATGGCTGAGTAATACAATAACTAAACTAATGACTAGACACATATCAAGCAAAACAATGTATACACAAGTAGTGAAAACTATTTGTACTTTACAATAAGGTATGTAATATAAGCAATATGAAAGTAGAAAACTTTACTCTGTGGTAAGTTTCTCTAACTGACAACCATCACTATAAGTCTAGCAATGATACAACGCTTCACCTATGTTCCAAGAGTCACCCTATACTTTTTCAGGTAATATGATGCTAACTATAAATATGGATCCATCCAATAAGCCTTGTTGAGGCAGTGAGGAGTTGACTAAAAGTCATTACGATCCTATCCTATGTTGGCTACGTAGTTTTATGGGAATTTGAGTTATAAATAGACTCTTACCCAATTCGATACTCGATACTACTTTCAAAATAATCAATATCAATATGCTCAATAGTCCTCTGAGAGAACTGTCTTTACTTTACTTTAACTTTTCTTTACTGAAGTACCTTTCAGAAAATCAATTATACTCTTCATCTTTCTCAATTGTCAAATAGTACATATGAAACCATTTTATTCTTTCTTTAAAAACATCTTTCAAGATATGCATTTAAAACGTATACTTTTGGGCTCACCTTTCAAGTCTGAAATCAATATATAAGAAATCTCATATAATAATCTCTATAAACATCACTTTTATAAACAATTGGGTTCATGTGATATGAATCATGAACCACAAATTTTAGAATTTACTACGCATAATAGAAATCAAAATCTCCACGGCTAAATAATAGGAACTCAGAATAAGAAACACAATTGAATTCAAATTTCATGAGACTACGGATAAAACTCTGAATATAGCATTTTAATGATTAAATTTAGATGTTGGGCGTGAGGACGAACTTAGTCCATCACTATGAGTAGCCTTACATACCTAGAAGAACAAAGTTCTTGACGAAACTGGAAGAATGATTGAAAACCCTAGTTTTCTCCTCTCGGATATTTGCTTTAAGACTTGGAAGTGCTAATGAGAGTAATAGGGTCGATTAATGTTGTTTAAAACCTTGTGTAAGTGTAAAATCGTTGGTGTTTAGCCTTAGAAGAGGTGGGGAAAGACTGAACTACCCCTCTTAAGAAGCTGTCGAAAAGCTTCCACGGGGTCATTAATGGTTCGTGGCTTGATCTAAGAACCGTAGATCTCATCCGTGGAATTCATATTGAAATTTTAAGGCTCAGAAGTTCATTTCATGGGTTCAAACTACGACCCGTAGAAATTTCTATGGAAGGTAGATTCAACCCATAAAAATTAAACCCAAAATTTTGACTCCCAGTACTTTTTCCACGAGTGAACAGTATGGGTTGTAGAAACTTATACGTCCCGTAGAAGTGATTCGTAGGTCATTGACTCAGAAATTTTATTGTGGTAGTCTCTGGTAAAATGGTCATAACATTTTACTCCACACTCGAAATGAGGCAAACTTGGTGGTGTTGGAAAGATGATTCATTGACCTTTAACTTGATAGGTCATGGGCCACCTAATTCATTATGTGCTGAGATATATGATCGTCTGAAGTTGACCTAAGTTAAATCTTATATCAAAACTTAATTGGTAAGGAAGATTTCAACTCAACTTCTTGCTAGGGGATTCTAGTGACCTTAATTTATATCCAAATCCATTTCTACTCTAAAGAATTGACCTCAACACCTAAAAACAATTCAAGAATCACCCGATACAACCTTATATGCAAATGAAGAATTGTTCGGACCTTAGCTTAGAAATTTTTGGAGTGTTACATCACATATACTAAACATTTTTAAAATCTTCCTCATGGGATAAATCTAAAAACATAATGTAAAACTCGTGAACTCCAATCTTAACTTTACCTTTGATGGTGACTTTCTCAACAAATTTGGAGCGCATCTTTTCAATATATGGCCTAGTGCTCATGAATTTACCCACCAAAGTTAGTTTAACTCTTCAGCAGACAACAATAACCCCATAATAATCACTTTATGTGAAAATGATTGTCGGCATGCCAGTGAGAGTAGCATAACAAACTTTCACTTATGGATTCCCAAAGTCAATGGTTACTAAGGCCTGTGATAGCACTTAACAGGCAATTGAATTACTTTGGAAGGTTAGATTGTAATGACCCTCTAAGTTATTTTCTTCTTAATTCGGTATGTTCAGCGTTTAGAGGTTTTCTATAGTAGTCCCAAATCATTTCTGACCTACTAGGACGATCACCATGCTGTTTGTTTGGTTTTTTATATAAGTTTCTCTATTTTGAAGCTTCTAAAGTTTAGATATTTGACTATGACCATAACTTCAGATAGGAGTGTTCACGGTTTGGATAAAAATCGATCCAAACCGAAAAATCAAACCAAACCGATTTTATTTGGATTTGATTTTGTTTGATTTTAGATTTTTTAAAACAGATAGTATTTAGTTTGGTTATGGTTTTGTTCGAGAAAAATCGAAGAAATAACCGAACCGAACCGACAAATTATTTACTTATATTTTATTATTATACATACGTAATATTTTATTTTTATAAACAATTTTAAAGATCTTATATATGTTTTCATCAAAATTTATTTATAATTTACTTAAGAAAACAAAAATGTAGAAGGTGAGAACATTTATCTTATTATTTTTATGTATATGAGTGTTTATGACAATTCTTTGTAGGATTGAAAATGTCATTGTCTCTTCCTTATGGACAAAAATAGTGAATTTTGAAGTTTTATTTATAGTAAGCTCAGTGATAAAAAATTATGTAATGTCAGTTATTCTAACATTTTTTCGTTTTGAATGGAATGTTGTCATTTTTCACATTTTGAATTAATTATTTATTTTATTTTTGTGTATGACTATAACTGAATAACTGAACTAAATCGGAACCGATAACAACCAAATTTAAACCGATAAATATGCATTATATTTGATTTGATTTTGATAATTTCAAAATCAATTAAGTTGATTTGATTTTAAATTTAACTGATAAACGATTCAAATCAACCCGTGTTTAGGATAAAAGTATGAAAAAATTCTTTTGGCCAGAAAATTTGGTCAGAATGATATTTTAACTATGTTATTTTACCTTTTTAAATATTTTTACCATTTTAACTTTAATACCTTTTAACTAAAAAATGAAAAAAAAAATCAATATATTTTAAAATTAAAAAAAATATCATAATTTTTTTAAATTTCTGGCCAAATTTTCTTACCATTTAGCATTAATGTAATATGAAAAACATAAATGTGAATGAGAGTATGAAAGAAGACTAGGGACACGTGGCTGTTATGTCCTTGGAATATAACAAAAGAGCAATGTCATCTTCTGTCGGGAGACATTTATTTATGAACAAATTTCCCTTCCCCGCATTTTTCGCCTTAACCATGTTATAAAATATCTTTAAATTATTTAAATTGAATATTTTCTTATTAATAGATTGGGATTATAGGACCCCACATATATAGCTTAGATATGTGATTGATAATTTAATCACAGTTTAGGTATTATTTTATACCTTATTCTAAAGCATCTAAAATAAGTCAATTTAATTTAAATATGCTCTTATTTTGGATCAAAAACTTCAAAAGTCTATTAAATCAAATTAAATTGCATAAATGTGATGGAAAAAGTAAAGTATAAGTTATTATAAATTGTTTGACTGTGAAATCCCTAGGTCCCGGACTTTTTTGTCACTTTAATTTGTTGGTGATACTGATTTTGATTTTGTACTGTATTTGGAAATGAAGTCAAGTAAAGGTAGTTGCAGGTCATCCTCCTGGTTTTGGTTCAGATGAGAATTCATTGTCGGTACTCATATCATCATCTATTTTGTTCTTTTTGTTTTTGAGAATTTATATTGAAATCCCGATTAAATTTAAACTACATATTACAAGGCTTATTTCTCCTTATTTAGCGAGTCTGATTAAGCATGAAACAGTCTTATAACTGGTTGGTTCATGTGTTTTTACTGCCCTCTCTTTCTATTCTAATTTTTCTTCTCTCCTCCTTATTTCCTTGTAACCTACTCACTACTGAAAACTTGAAACTCCCAATTTTTACTGCATCATCTGCTTATACATTTTACACTTTCCCTTATACTATATGATTTTCTTTTGTTTGATGTAACAAATCTTGCTTTCTTAGGTTGGGAATAAGAAACTTTTCCTTTTATTGTCAGCTTTTGTTCAAGTGTATTACGTAATTATGTCCAGGCCCCACTTGTTAATATATTTTGTATGTCCAATTTCTCACTAGTCCAAGTTTCAGTTTTTACTCATCATAACTAGGACACTACATTTTTACTTGAATTCTTCCAATACAAATATCTGCAATTTTAGCAGTGAAGAGCTTCTCTAATGCTAAATTTGGTCAGAACAAGAACTCAGCCCAGGTCTAATAGATCTATGCCTTTAGTAGGTGAGCTCTTTTCCTTTTGCTTCTTATTTCCTCAATTTTTGTTTTATGTTTCAACACCTCAATAGCACTTCTCTTCTTAATCATGTTTCTGATGGTTGTTTGCTAGCTAATCTCTCAAGTGTTTATGTTACTAACAGAATCTTTTACTCTGTCTAAACAACTTTCTTTATTGGTTATATATAGCCATGGATTATGCAGATCCAAAGAAGAAGAACAATTTTGTGGGTAAAATTCTTATGGCTGCTATACTGACTGCACTATGCATTCTTATGCTCAAACAGTCCCCTGATTTTAATCCCCCAACCTCAGTAAGTCCATCATCCTTTTCTTTATTAATTATTTACACACTCGTACTAGGGCTTGTTTCAATTAGGCACATGATTAAGTGTATCCCTTTTACATACTTCCAATTCATATCCTGCAAAAGCTTTTGAACGTATTCTCAACTGCTTATTATGTAGACAAGTTAATCACATAAAATATAACATTTCCTTTAATTACACACATTAGCCTCAATTGGAACAAACCTGAGATTTTTTTGGCTTATTGAGGCTAATGCGAAGAATTAGAGGAGGTGACATATTGTAAGTGGTTATCTTATCTACGTAATAGACGTTTGAGAATGCACACATAAATGTAGCAATTTGCTAAAAATAGCCTCCCTATCCATTTGTAAAACACACCTTATTCTTCCAACAAGTGTTCTCTCTCTCAAGAAAACTTGGTTAGAGTTTGTTCCCTCTTTGTATTTTCAAAGTTCGTTTGATATTTATATCAAAGTTCAATTTTTTAACTTGCATTTTTCATTACTTTTGTAATCTATCATTTTCATTGTCATTATTACTTATGGTTGGCACCGCCAACTACTTTTAATTAATTAATTGCATTATCTAACACATGGTTGGCTCTGTTGCCTAATTTATTTATTGCATTTACATTTACATTCTTGCATATTTACATTTAAGTATCGCTCGTTTGCTTCCTATCCTTCTTCCCTGTATTTCACTCCTATAATATTAGGGGGATTCACTTCCTGGTACTTGGTTTTGGTTGGTCTTAATTTAGTGGGAAAAACTGGCTGTCCTTTTGTTGACAGATGCTTGGAACTGTACTGCTGTTTACTGGTTCATTATTTTTCTTGAAGCTCTATACTAGTGTATTATTGCCTGCATGCCACTAAAATCCAGTTTTGGTATCCATCTTGGTTTTTGGAACTATGGGAATATGAATTACTATCATGCTGTTTCTTCTCCGAGTTTGTCATAGTTCCTTTGTTGTTTCATATTGCAAGAGCTTTCTGTTGAAATAGAGCTGGTTTCACCTTTCTAACTGGAGTAGGCGTTGTAACAATCATCTAGAATGATGGATTAACAATTTTATCCTTTTGAGTTGATAACATTTGAATCAGCACAAATGATGGATTTGAATCTCCAGTTCTACAAGAAATGCAAATCCTCCTTAGAGTGAGAAAAAGGAAATATGTACATCTTTCAATTTCGCAATATTCTATTTTCATAACATGTGTATATTGCCAGGAAGTCATGTGACAGACAATAAATCATATGAATATTGGACAACTATTGAGCTTGCTGTTCACCATGTTTGTTTCTCCTGTTTCCTCCTCTTCAGTTCTCTCGTCATGAACCAGGTGTCGCTCATGTCTTAGTCACTGGAGGTGCTGGCTATATTGGATCTCATGCAGCATTACGTCTTCTAAAAGATTCTTACCGCGTGACCATAGTGGTAATTTCTCCATTTTCGAAAAATTGGTCCTTTCCGTAATCACTGTAGACAACTCTCTGTTTTTAGTTTTGAATTATTCAACTCTTGAGTATAAATATGTAAATGGGACATCATAGGGAAAATGATTTACTGATTTGTCAGGACAACCTTTCACGAGGAAATTTAGGTGCTGTTAGGATTCTACAAGAATTATTTCCTGAACCTGGCAGGTTTCAGTTCATATATGCTGATTTGGGGGATGCCAAAGTGGTATATTGCAGTTTTTCTTAACTACCTTATGGTACTTAAGAAGTTTGTTTTTTCTGCCATCTACTTATTTCTGGGATGATTATATGCAGGTGCACAAGATATTCTCCCAAAATGCATTTGATGCGGTCATGCATTTTGCAGCTGTAGCATATGTTGGCGAGAGCACCCTTGATCCTCTTAAGTAAGTGTTGTTGAGTTTCTTTGAGAACTTTTGTTCCACGTAGACATGTATTTAGTTTGCATGATTTGAGAGGAACATAAAATTTGGATTTTGAAATGTTACTTTGATCAGTGAAGTCCTTTCTTTTCCCAGAAAGAGAAAAAAAGAACTCCCCAGAAACCTATGTATGTGCTGATAATGCAATCCTTTTGACATTGTTGTTTGAGAATTAAAGCTACGGTAACATTTTATTTTCTTGTCTGGATTTAGACAGTGTTTGGATCTTTGGATGCAGTGGCTTCTAAAGAAACATTTGTTTGTCTCTAAATTTTCACTTCTATTAAAGTACATGGGAGCTAACTCTTCTACCAGCACTTTGACGAGTTATGCATTCTATCCTATAGTGGAAATTTATAAAGTTGCCTTTGATCTTGCTTTCTGTATACGGTACTTAAAAAGGGATTGTCACACTCGTTATTTCAAATTGAGAGTGTTCTGTTAACACTTAATCTAGTGTATTAATTTTCCTTTAAAGAGATTTAGCAGACTAACTTTCAACCATGATATCCACGTTTAGGTATATTTTTATGGTAATGTTGCTTTGCCTTTTCCTTTTTACTTATAATTCGTATGCCACTTCATGGCTCAATCAGGTATTATCACAACATCACATCAAACACCCTCACTGTACTAGAAGCAATGGCAACTCATGGAGTCCCAACATTAATTTACTCTAGTACATGTGCAACATATGGAGAACCTGAAAAGATGCCGATTACAGAAGAAACTCCACAGGTGGGTGCGTTAAAGGTCATATGCATGTATTAGGCTCGAAGCATATGAATGATGTGGAGAGATTCACCATTTGTTAGTTGGGAGCTTATTACATACCAGCTGAGCATCATTCTCTCAAATTGCAGCTGCCTATTAATCCATATGGAAAAGCAAAGAAAATGGCGGAGGAAATCATCCTAGATTTTCACAAGAACTCAAACATGTCTGTCATGATTTTGAGGTAAATTGTTCTTATAGTCCTTTCCTTTTAGTTTGTGTTTTTCATGCTGGTGTGAATTTATCCTTACCTTTCCCTTCACTTTTTTGTTGTTTCTATCTATTTGTATTTCCCCTGCTTGTTCATTATATCTAGTGTACGTTTTTGTTAGTTGATTTTTGTAGTTATTTATCTTCTAATCAACAAGGCCAGTCAATCTATTTTACTTTCTTGTTTACTGAAGTCTCGTATGTGAACTAACTGATCGAAATATTTTACCCTCTCAAAAAATTGTTCTCTTTTCAATTGTGATCCACTGGTTTTCATTGTTCTTTACCAAGTAAACTAAAAGCTTGCACTTCTTTGATCAATTTTGGATAACCAACTGCTATTATTGTTTTTGACTTTTAAGTGTGCATTATATTTCCCAAATTAACGCTTACATCAAATTTCTCGAATTTAGATACTTCAATGTTATTGGTTCTGATCCAAATGGAAGACTAGGAGAAGCTCCGCGACCTGAACTACGGGAACATGGCCGGATATCTGGTGCTTGTTTTGATGCAGCTCGTGGAATCATACCTGGGCTTAAGGTCAGTAACTATTTGCTATCAAAATATTTGTATTTGTTGAATTTGCCAGAAAGTGGTCTGTTTGTCCAGTTCTATTGAGTTATGTATGAAACAGTGACCGTTTTGTTCAAAAAAGTATGTATAAAACAGTTTCAAACTTCCAAATGTCTTCCAATTAGTGGTTGTTAATATTTTTTCTATGACAATCAAAACATAAGACTGCTCTATGCACAAGACTAAAGACTCTTGCTATAGAAGGGAAAAGTGGATGTGTGTATCATGATCAAATGAATTTTGTTGATAAACCATTGTCCGAGTCACAGAGTTCTTCTGTTATGCAGGTAAGAGGAATAGACTATAAGACAGCAGACGGTACCTGCATAAGGGATTATATAGACGTGACCGATCTGGTTGATGCTCATGTTAAAGCTCTTGAGAAGGCAAGGCCAGGGAAAGTTGGGATCTATAATGTTGGAACAGGAAGAGGTAAACAACTTTGTTCTACATAATCAGTTTTTCTTTCTCAAAATCTCAACGTCTTATTGTCCCTCGTCTGCAAGTACAGGCAGGTCAGTGAAAGAATTTGTGGAGGCTTGTAAGACTGCAACTGGAGTACCTATCAAAGTTGACTTCCTTCCCCGTAGGCCTGGTGATTATGCAGAAGTTTACAGTGATCCAACTAAGATTAGGAATGAACTGAACTGGACAGCCAAATACACTGATCTTCAAGAGAGTTTGCAGATTGCATGGAGATGGCAGAAGTCACATCTTAATGGTTATGGTCTATCCGTGGCGGTGGCAACATCCTGATGATGCTCTATTAACTTATTGTTGCGGAAGACTGACTTGAACCTGGTGTCACAGCTTAACTTAACATCGAATTATTAGTATCCATAAAGTACAGCTTTCAAGACCAATGGGGGGGATGATGTGTATTGTGACAATAGGCAGCAGTCTATTTACCCATTTGTTATGTGTATTTAGTGAGAGGGATATTTCAAATCAATAATAGTTCCCATTCAGGTATAGCTTCCATCAGTCTTCCTTCCTATTTTTAAGAATTTGCTCCCAGAACTGTTCCTGTAGCTTCTCTTCTGGAGAAACTACAGTTTTTTCTTGTACATTCTGTTATTTTATTCTTTGACTTTGAGGCGTAGTCGATTGATTGATTATTTATTGTATGTACTTTCATTTGTTGATGCAGAAAATCTGTTCTACAAAACAACAGTTACCTCCCCAGCCAGGCAATAAATATGGCTAATATTACTGCATTGAATTTCTGTTTTTTCTTCTTCAGAAAAATCAAATCTGAAGGGTCACATAAAACACACTAAGGGGTCGTTTGGTAGTTGATTTAAGCTGGTATTCATGTATTAATTTTATACCATGTTTAATTTGTAAATATGACAAATTTATTCTTGTATTAATTTTATAAAATATTTGCTTGGTAGGTTTCTAAAAGTTGTACAAAAGTTATTGATGTATTAATTTTTTATGGTGTTTATTGCGTTTTCTTTGTAATTCTGCATACTAATATTTTCATAACTTATGAGGAATTATAATTTATGTAGGATAGAAGATGAAATTAGTTATGTGAGTATTAGTTATACATGTATTATAATAATAAATTACACATTTAACCCTATCAATTTACTTTTAAATGTATATTAATTTACAACTAATCAAATAATTAATACATGTAAAAAAAAGCACTATAATTTTTTTTTGGATTTTTTTGTCTTTTTAATTGTTTAATTCTTTTGGTTTGCATTTTTTTGTTAATTATTTTCTTCGGCAGTAAAGGTAATTATTGTTAATTTAATTAATTTTTTTGCTTAGTTTTTGACACGATCCAAAACCCTAACTCATGATGACACCTACTATAACCCACCAGTAGGTAAGACAAATTCATATCTCGAAACGACTAGTATCAGGCATATTGGGTAGAAACAACAAACGACGAGATAAAATAGAAGCAATTTAGCGAAAACAATATAAAATAAGAACAACAGAATATATACAACCAAAACAAAAACTCCAATCCCATGACTTGGTAGTCATAAGTCATAACTATAGAGTTGCTAAAAGAGTACATGTCCCAAAAAGTGAACAAAAAATACAGACTTTTCTCAAGTACAAAAAACTAGTCAAACTATAAACAAAAGGAGATAGGTTGATCCAAGACGCCATAAGCTCACCCTCGGTTTCCGATATCCTCGCAGCTGGCTCGAAATCAATGTTGGTGACTGGTACTCAGACTTGCATCACAAAAACAAGTTAGAGTGTAGTTGAGTACCAAAACAACACGTACACAGTAGGTATCATAGATCAACTAAGCTTGGAAAGTAAACACAATAATGAAAAGCGAGAAAAATTCTAACTATGAAGCACACAAGTTAAGGAAAGAACAAGCAATAAAGTTATTATCAACTAATTATAAGCTAACTGGACCCCCATAAGCCCAGAAGGTATGCAATTGAAAGTAAATAACCCAAATGTACCCTCATAAGCTCGATGGGTACACAGAATAGCTAGGTAACTACTACATAGAATAGCTAGGAAACTACTAACTAAGTGACAAGAGTATTCCAGGACTACCATAACCATCCACGTACTCGAACCATGGTAAAGGCAACTCAAGAACCCAATAAAATCACCAAGTTAGGACTCAGACCCGACTAATAAAGTTGTACCTGAACTTGAACCAAGTTTAATAGAGATGCGTCAAGCCCTCGAACTATGACTAAAGAAGGTACGCTCGGGCCTCGAACTGTGGTTAAAAGAGGAAAGACAAGGCCTCGAACTCTGGATAATAGATATGCACACAAACCTCGAACCGTAGAAAAGAACATCGTATACTTCTAAATTTGTTGCTCTTCCTCAGACCGGTCCATAGTGTAGAGTGAACCACCTTCAGAGTCACCAGGGACCCCATCTAGATCCAAAACCAACACTCGATCCCAAACAGCCAAATAAATTTTGAAATCACCAACGAACACGCTTGACTCGAACCACAAGGAAACAATTATGGATGAAAGGTCATAGGAGCTGAGTTATGGCCTAGCTAAGTATCACACTATCAAACCAAGTCTCTTATATCAGTCTACAGGGAGATAAGTCGGTCAATGTAACGTCGGAGAATCTCTAAAGCCTATTGGCTACAAAATGCAAGTCTAAGGTAGTCACTAACCTACACCTAGGCTAAGGCCCATAATAACTACCAAATCAACAAGATCAACAATATAGAAGCTACGAGGCAAGACATGACTACATGCATAACAATACTAAGTATGATTGAACTCTTGAAAACTCAAAAATAAGGCCTAATGTATGAATTCTAACAATTGGGCATGATTCAACCACAAACCCACCCTGATTCTAACTATTTAATATGAATTCACATTTAAAAGCTCAATCTAAAGACGGATAAGCCATAACCTACCTCAATACAGACCGCTCGCGCTCCAAATTCACAATTCCAGAGCTTTGCCCTTTCGAACGGCCTATGATCACTACCGCACTACCAAAATATGATAACAACGTCAAGACGAATCTTAATACACTAAAAATGCAACAATTGGAGACAGACCCAAAATCGAGTAAAAATGAAATTATGGGATCTATGTTGAAAATCCCAAAATTGACTCTATCGTCAATGGATCCAAATTAGCTTACTAAACTTGTACCCCAACAATGGGCACAATTCAAGCTCGAAAAAAAGATCATGCAAGGAGATGAAATGAAAACGTCATTAAAGAGAGGACAGTCCTTCAGGACAAGAAATCACATGTGAAACGAGCTTTCCACGCCTTTTTGATGATCCAAATACAACACCACGCAAATTCCCGACACACAACAACAATAATCATCCAATTTGGAGCTCTACAATTCCCCAATCACAATTTGAACTATGAAGTGAGAGCTGAAATCTCAGCTAGTCTTTATCAAAAAGACCAATTAAATGACCTCTGTGAATGTGGAATTCAGTCTGTGGTCACAAAAGGTCGGGCCACCAAAGCATCGCGAACGCAAAGGGTCAGCCTCTTGGCCTAATTGATCGTGGTGCAAGGCCCGCGAACGCGAAGGGTCAGCCTCTTGGCCTATGCGATCGTGGTGCAAGGCCCACGAAAGTGATGGGCAACTCATTAAGCCTCTACAAACGCAACACTAGGCCCAAGAACGTGGAGACCAGAACCACTAGTCCCCATGAACGCAGCTTGAGACACGCAAATGCCAAGGGTAAATGGAGGTTGCACTAGCTGATGCATATTAGCTAGTTCCCCAAATCCCAAAATCTCTAACATGGTGCTCGGGATTCATTCGGAACCTTATGCACGCAAACGAGATACGTTATCCCACCAAATTAAGATGTCTGAACTTAACGGAGATGTTGAACGTTCCAACTGAGATCGTCTCGACAAAAAGTGGGTCCCACACCCAAACTCTATTTTAAGTCATAAGACACTAGGTTGCTCGAATTGAGCCAAAAAGTCTTGGGAATCGCACCAAATGACCTTCTAGACAAAACTTGATGATGTGAAGCTAACGAAATTGTCAGAATTGCATTATGAGGTTGTCTACTTGAAGTTTTAATCAAAGCCAACCATTCAAGTTTCAAAACGCTTCAAAACATGGAAACTTACACAAAACCTAAATAAACTACCAGGTGATCGAACTGTCCATCTCAATAAGTCATAAATGAATAGGGGTCACTATAGTAATCCTTTTAACACCGAAAAGAATGCAATAAAGAGAAAATGACCTAGAGGGGCATTACAACATCCACTACTAGAAGGACTTATGTCCTAACAAATAAATAATCAAGAAGTACTTAAAGGTTTAAACAAATGGGGAAACTTCTCTCGCATATCATGCTCATTTTTCCAGGTAGCCTCCTCGACTAGATGATATCTCCAATGGATCTTAACAACATGAATGGCTCTTGAATGCAATAGTTGCACATCTCTGGCGAAAATAGAATCAGACTCCTATACAAAGGCCAAATGGTCGTCCAAATGAACTAAATCATACTAGAGCATATGAGAGTCGTCAGGAACATACCAGCGAAGCATAAAAATATGGAAAACCGAATGAATACCTGAAAATGTTGGAAGTAGGGCCAACTAATAAGAGACATCACCAATAGTCTGAAGAATCTCAAATGGCCTTATATACCTAGGGATAAGTCCCCGCCCCCCCCCCCCCAAATCTTATCACGCCCTTCGCGGGTGATACTTAAAGGAATACCTGATCACCAACTCTAAATCTCAAAGGCCGACACCTATGGTAAACATAACTCTTATGTTTGCTCTGAGTTGACCTAAGTGTATCCTGAATCACCTGAACTCTATCTAAGGACTCCTGAAGTAAATCAGTACCATGACTAGGCTTCAAAGACTCAAATCATTATTGGGGAGGCAATTTGAACCAAAAAATTTAGAAGAAATATTTGGGTAATGGTTCCTAGTCTTAGATCTTCATTTACTCATTATTATTTATGAATTTAAGTGTTCAAATCAAGGTTTTTGGAAATATAATTTGGGGTTTCTTCAAGAACTTGATAATATGGTTATTTTGAGCTGAATTTCAATCCATTTTGAAGTGGTTTTTACCAATGAGTTCCAAATGTACTGGATAACATTTTCAAGTAAAGATTTTTGGATTCAAACCTTATTTTTGGAATTAGATTTTTGAGTTGTTTTGACCCATTTTTCAAAGTGTTTGATTTGGATATTGTTATTTCTAAAATCTTATTGTGATTACTTAATTGAATTAGATTGTGTGGCTTTGGATATTGTTCAGAAAGGAAAGACTTAACTCTTGGATTGACTTTTAATTGAAATTGAGGCAAGTGATCTCCTAAACCTTGTAAAATTAGTAGAATCGTGTATTTTCCTTCATTTGTATGTGTTGGGGAGTAATGGGAACGAGGTGATGAATTCAATTATCAAACTTGATTGATATTAATGAATAAAAATGGGATTAATGAAAAGGCAACGGGTTGATCATAATGCTTTGTGAAT